CCCTAGTCAGCGCTGGAGTTCCCCCAGCTCCTGTGGGAGGCACGGTGCAACCGGGCCTGGTTCCTACCGGGGCCGGGCAGCCCCAGTCGGTGCCTCCACCGCAGGTGGGAGGCAGCGGTGCGCCGTCAGCCGCGTCTGGTGGCCCTCACACCATGGTGCCCGGAGTTCCAAACGTGCCTGCCGCCGTGCCCGCTCCAAGCGTGTCCAGTGTGTCTACCACATCTGTTACTATGCCACATGTACCCACGGTCCTGGTCCAGTCGCAGCAGCTGAGCAGCCATGCGCCAGTCAGCAGGAGCGGTAGCATAATCCAGCAAGTCGGGCTGCCTTTAGCGCAAGGCACACCCAGTGCACCAACAAGTCTACCGCAGTCTGACCTAAGCCAGTTTCAGACTCAGAACCAGCCTTCAGTCGGACAAGCTGACGATACTAGAAGAAAATCAGAACCCCTACCTCAACCACCACTTTCTCTCATTGCTGAAAATAAGCCTGTTGTGAAGCCTCCTGTTGCCGATGCCCTGGCAAACCCCCTTCAGTTAACACCTATGAACAGTCTGGCCACCTCTGTGTTCAGCATAGCTATTCCTGTTGATGGTGATGAAGACAGGTATGAAAATCTTATATAAAATATTTTATAGGAATGTTTGGCCAAACGTAGTGTAGGGTACAACTTTGGAAGAGTTCTTTTTCAATTTGAAGCTGTTAGCAGTTTTAAATATAACAATTAGTGTTTAGTAAAGTTGATTTATCAATTCTTAAAAAAAAACCTTTAGTTTTAAAGATTGCTCATGTAAAGGTGGCTAATGAGAATTAGTCTTGTCACAGTTGCTCAAACATACTAAATGAATAGGAATGCAACATTGTTTATTCAAAAGGGTGGATTTTATCTTAGTCCTCTCAATTTAGAGATGGTAACTAGTAGGATTGTCCCTTTTTTAGATGTCAATCACACTTGAACACTTACGACAGACTTTTGTCAGTGTGAGTTTTGAGATTAAACAATTAGAAGTTTGCCATTCTGGAAAACCAGAAGGCCCCTTAGTACAGAAAGATCCATGTAAGATCTCTATCTCCTCCAGTGTATCTGGAAAGATTGGAGAGATAATCTTGAAATGTCAAATCCGGCTTTGAAGATCATATCTTCGTTCAGCCTTTTAATGAAAGAGAATAGAAAGTCAAGAGGCTTCCCAGTGACTTACTTCTTTAGATACTATTTTTTTTTTTAAAGTAAAAGTGTATCTGAAAATGCTTCCATCATCAGTCTTTGTACTGTAGGAAAGGGTGATATGTATGAGCTGTAGTAAAAATCTGTAGTTCTTGAAATTAGAGTAATTTTATAGTAAAGGGGTAAATGTCAGCAATTGGCTCCCTCTATTTAAGGGAAGCTTCTTTAATTGTTTAAGTGAAAATTGGTGTATTTGCCATATCAATCCTACAACAGTTGATGTTTGGTTATTGTTTAATGGGGATTTTAAATGGTTTTGAGAAAATTCACATGAAAACTTGACATAATATACCTAACGCAAGTTTTAAAAACGGATTTGTCACAGCTTTAAAATTATATTTTAAAACTACAGAGAAAGTTTCAGGTACTTCGCAAGTAGACCTTTATTTGCTGGAGGTTTTGTTTTCAGAAAGGTTAATTTTAGATGTGTTAAAAGATCAAAGCTGTTTTTATGGAATAATTGGTATGTAGAATACAATGAGATCTGTTAAAGCTTTTTCTTATGTTTCCTCTGGGTTCCTTCATATTCTTAACTTTTCATTTCTGTTTAGTCTTGTATTTTATATACTTCTGTTGGTTGGTGTGAAAAATGCTTACTGAAATTCATCTTCTCTGCTTTTTGTAATTCAAAGTTCATCTTTTTTTGTAGGTGACTTGCTTGTGGGGAGTCTTTCTTCCATTTGAGAACTCTTAGAGAATTCCACGTGTCCATAAGTGAGCTCAGCTAGCTAGTCGTTGAGAAATTTTATGTGGATGGAACTACCAAGTAAAGAAACTGATTCCACAAGCCACTCAGAAAAATCTCTCTTTTGCTCCCATATTTTCACACATAGGAGCACACACTTAAAATGCAGATTGAGTTTTAATTATTCACCTTTGGTAATAGTCAACAGGTGACCTTCCCTTTTCTAGCTGCCAGAAACTATTTTTTTCTAGTGGGTTAGTAAATAAGCATTTGCTTACCTCCCTGAACCTGTTTTACACTGCCCCCATATTCTTCAAGAAATAATGACTGGTTTTCTAACCCACTCCCAAAACACCTGCACACCTGTGAATGAAGAATGTATTTTCTATTCTCTTCACACCTCTTTCAATTTACAGAATATGTAATTACATTCCTCATAACTTTAATATGATGATATGGCATGAAGCAGAGAGATCTGTTGACAAATGGAAACTCTGGGATGTATTTTTAGAGTATACCTCCAAGATACATTTATTTCTCCTCCCCTTATTAAGAGTTGATAATCTCATCTCATTTCTAAACATGTGAATGTTTGAATTACAGATACTATTCTATCAGTGTTATCAATTGCAACAGTTAATCCAGTGTAGGAATTTTGATGTGTGTGCAGTCCTATTTTAAATATGGCACTTCCCTCCCCAACCCAGTCTTTTAAAATCTGTTGCTTATCAAATGTTCATTTCTAATTTTTGTTATAGTCTTTCATTGGTTTTCAGTTTAACAAGCTAGTTTCCAAGATGTAATGTTACACATTTGACTATTTTGTCACTGCAACCAACATACCTGGTGAAGGAATAAATCCATTAACTAGAAATAGTTGTGTGTTTTTTAATTGGAAGCCTTTGGAAAAGAGGCATTTTAAAGTTCTGTGCTTGAAATTAACACAGTTTTTCTAGGAGTATGTTTAAATTACTGAGTTGAGTACTTTTGAGGATAAAGTACCAGCACAATCGTAATTTTAATATGGTGATTTTGGGTTGCCTTACTAAATTAAAATCTGCATACAGTTTTTAAAAAGTTGTGTTGAATTTATTGGGGTGACTGGTTAATAAAACTGTATAGATTATATACAATTTTATTTACAGTCATTCAAATGTAAAATAAAATGGAGTGAGAAGTCTTGAGTAATTATGACTTAAATTTTATGAATAGGTTGAAACAAATTTCAAATCATAAGAAAGTATTTGCAAGGTGTTTGCTTTAAAAAAATGTTGAAGGAAAATGAAAGATTAACAAAAATGTTTGAGGTGATTTTGGTTGATATATTGAAAACTCTATGTTGTCATTTTGGTTCCATTACTAATACAAGGCTCTCCGTATTGGCTCCTTTTGAGACTATTTATTTTAACGAATCAGAAAAGACCTTATATTATTACATCATAATATTATCATACCTTTAAAAGGGCTGATGTTTGTTTATGCAAAGTAAGAAAATATCTTAAAGTTCTTGGTTAACGTTGCCCATTGGCCATATATTACTTATTACCACAAAGTTAATCTATTATTTTAGCTTTTCTCATTAGGCATATGATCATTTGTTGAGATGCATCAAATTGATTTTGTATAAACTGGAGGATATAATGATGGTTGAAAATAATCATAGAAAAATGTGTAGCCATTTTTACAGTGAAAGTTATAAAATTTGTTTAAACTACCTGTACACTTAACAGGCTCCTTTTTGGTAAATGGGAGAGATACAAAATATTACTGCCTTTTTCAAAAACGAATACAGTACAGATAATTTTCCATAGATAGCTGACCAATGTGAACTCTGTAGGCCACATTCCAGGAACTCTTATGAATGGCTGCAATTGTGAACTGTCACCTGCAACCAAAACACTGTTGAAAACATGATTGTAAGTCTTCAATCAAGGAAGGGTCCAATTAGAAGGGTCAGGTTCAGACAAAGAACTGCAGAATATATAAACCAGAAACAAAGGGACACAAAACACATTTTTTTAGATTGGTTTTCCTATTAGAGAGAAAGAGAGAACAGGCTTTTCCCTTTGGGGGCACCCCTGCCCAGACGGAGTTTGTATATGCTTTCAATAAACTTCTACATATTTATTTAAAAAACAACAACAACAAAAACATGATTGTAAGGATCCCTTAGTGGCAAATATCTCTATATCTTGTTCATGGTTTTATTTGTGTAGTTAGTTATTTATTACTGGTAAGGTATTATAAATTGTAATTGGTTAGTGATGTGTCCTGGTATGTATTATAAATAGAAATTTTGTTTGTTCAGTTTTAGACATATATATGTAAATGTATATTAGGAGGCAGAACTATAACTCTGTAGATACTTAGAGTTTATTTTTCTTTATCTATATTAAATTGTGGAGGTAATTTTGCCCTTCCAGCTTTTCGGTTGATATTTAAATCACATAGTAGATGCCATCTATACTTATCTAAGTATCCAAGTACTCTTACCAAGGATTTTGTAATCCAAGTGTAAAATCATGTGATGAGTGACATATTATTTACTAAGAGCTGATGATGCATTCATCAGAGTGCCATGTTGATGACTAAAATTAAGGAAATTATCATTGATTTCCAGAAAGGCTGATGATCACAAAACCAAGAGTTGTATGAGAAGGAATATGGCCTTTTTAATTCACAGTGATACATACATTGTTTAAAAGTTTGTGTGGACTAAATCATATAGGCTGAACATTGATTAATCTTGAGAAAACATGGGTTTGTATGTGTGAGGATAAGACATATTCGAAGTAACTATTTTAGTTACCCCTGTTTTTTCCTTTCAGGGGAAGGAGTATATCTTGAACTTAATTGCTTTTATGAGAGGTCATTTTTTATAGTACTGGTAGTGGGGTATATATGTTCTCTTATTCCTGAAAATAAATTTACTACCAATCTTTTGATAGCACTAATTTGGAAATAGTAAAGCATGGTACTGGATTTATGGATATGGTACTTGCTAATTTGGAGTGGCATTTAGTCTTTCTCCTTACCAAAGGAGATTGAAAGCAGTCCTGCTCTCTAGTGCCCTCTGGTAGCAAAGAGCAGCCCCACCTATGGTAAAGAAACCAAAATGAATCTTTCTTGAGGAATGGTTGCTAGGGAAGTATAAAAGGATCTTGACTTTTCTTTCCTAAAATGGGAAAATTGGGGGAGAGGGTGGCAGTGGGGAGGGGGGTGGGGATGTGAGGGTAGAGAGTGACTGCAGATAACCAAGACAGAAAATATAGTGAAATGACATGAAATGTGATCTCAGAAGGAATAGGAACACTTGTTTCTACTGAGGAACCATGATCTAATTCCTTCTTCTAATAATTGTTTAACCAGTATGTATTTCCTTTTCTGAACAGAAACTGTTTATTTCTTAATTTCATTACTCTTGAGTATGAGGAAGAGAGGCTTAAACAGGTCTGGTTAAATGTAGCCTGAATGAATATGTACCCTAAGTAATTGATGGACAGTATTAAAGGAGTATATGTAGCACAGTTCTTGAATTGGAATAAATCATTCAAGTTTGTTTTAAATACTAAACCGGTGGACTTGTGATTAGATGGTATAATATGAATTACTACATCCACAAAGAATATGCATACCTGAATTGTTATAAATTAGGTCTTTCCACAGCAATTCTTGAACATACCAAATTACTCAATAT